TGTCTGTTATTGACAATTGGGAATTTGTTTTTGGACAATTTAATATAATTTTTTTAATGTCAAATATATCTCTCGATTTTATCGTTTTCTGCACCTTTTCCCCCTCCCCCAATAGCCCCATCCCTATCAAGGGTAGAGGCGGGGGAGCAAAATCTTCTTTGTTGAAAAATTGTTATCTTATTTTTCTTTATATCTTATTTTGATTGTATATTTTTTTGAATCGTATTAAAAGTTGATTTCATCTTAAGCATCGGAGTGAATAGTGTACCACAAAAGCTTTTGGTAATCTTATTGACGCATATCACAATATGGTTCCTTAATTAGAAATGATATTAAAGGGCTTTTGGTCTATTTTAGATCTGAGATTTCTTTGTACTAAGTTTGATGAAAGAAAGCAAAAAAAGAAGTCCTTAATCTGCAGAAATCCTATTATTTGGACTCGTAAAATATAACACACTCAAAATTTGAGGCTTAATCGAAATAATTTTTCAATCCTACAAAAATAGAATAAGATTAGTCCTATAGGTACTACAACAAAAAATGATTGTGAATTAATTGCCGCTAAATATGTAATTTTAGCGTTAATTGTTATTCTTTGTATATGTCCCTAAAGCTTTAGCTGATATTTGTTTTAATGACACTTAACTAATTGCGATAAAGATTTTAGTATTCTTTATTAATATCAATATTTAATTTCGCTAAAAATTATTTCTATTGTTGTCAGGGGATAGACATATGTATAATACCACTTACCTAGACACTAATTTTGAACTTATTATATTATTTCTTCGACTTTAAGTTTATTTGGAATATTATGTCATTAAATATTTAGCATGTCTTAGAATTTTGAACCTTAAAATAAAGTGGTTTTTGAACTTATAAAACTAAAACTAATAAAATGAACTTGTTTAATTTATATAATTCGATTAATGGTTCAACCCTAATAAGTTATATCTAATAGGACTTAAAGAACCAATCCAATTAAAATTTTAATGCTTATGTAAATGGTTATATATAACTTCATCTATCTATCTATCTATCTATCTATCTATCTATATATATATATATATTTATTTATTGACCATATCCCCACTTGACCAATTTGGTCTTTTGAATTTGATGTGCTAAAACGACTTTCACATACTAATAAATACTTTTTTCAATGTAATTTTAAATTTAATTGAATATATATATATATATATTAAAAAAATAGCGAGAACAAAAAATGTATAATTATATCGGTCTTTCCAAATTAAGGAAGCAACTAATGATATATTATCATCAAAGCAAGAATCATAGACTATAGCCTTACATGATCAAGTGAAAACTTGATAGGTCTCACATTTACTAAGCTTTCAAAAGGACAATGTCCACCTTTACTTTCCGTAGGATTGAAAACTTAAACGCTTCTGACATAGTTAATCAAGCAATGATCAGGAATCGACGGTTTGATTCTGCCTATTGGCGAATTAAACCAATAGAAAAAAGCAATCCTAATTTCTGAAGATTACTTTTTGTCAGATTTTATCGTACTAGTAATCATTGTCATTCACTATTGATGAGTTTATCTACGGAGCGTAGTCATGCTTTACTCCCTTTTCAAATTGAAAAAAAATTATAATAAGAAGTAAGATCCATGAGAAGTTTTAGTTTCGTCATATACCATAACTTCTAACCTAAAAAGCCCTTTTAATTAAATTTTATCTCAGTTAAACTCTCTCTCTCTCTCTTTCATATACTATAGGAAAAACGGAGACCATGAGCAGTGGTGGAAGTCGAATATCATATGAGATAGAGAATAATGTAATTAATGATTACTTTAAGTTTGAGAAATAAAAGTTGATTCAAAATGGGAAAATGCACAAGTACCCCTTTAACCTATGTCGAAAATCTCAGAGACACACTTATACTATACTGATGTCCTATTACCCCCTGAACTTATTTTATAAGTAATTTTCTATTCCTTTTCAGCCTACGTGGCACTAGCTTGAAAAAAAAAGTCAACTAGCGTTGGGCCCACAAGATAGTGCCACGAGACCGAAAAGAGGTAAAAAATTATTAATAAAATAAGTCCAAGGGTAATAGGACCTTACTATAGTATAAGTGTGTCTCTAAAATTTCGGACATAACTTGAGGGGATACTTGTGCATTATCCCTTAAAAAATTTATTTGTATTTTATAGTGATCTAAGGAAATATTTGATTCAAATTTAAATATTTACAAATACTTATTAAATTTCTTAATTCATGAAGAGTATTTAAGCAAAACTTATTAGCTTCACATAAATTCATAAATTACCTTATAAGTTTACTTACGAATAGATGAGACTGTTCATTTCTTATTCATACATTTCAAAGTTAACTCATTTTCCCTCCTATTATGGGTAAGTTTATACTTGAAGTAAAAAAAATGATACAAATACAGTAAGCCATATTCATAAGTCATAGCCTAGAGCCTTAGACATATTCACATGAAAACAATCATAACAAATGCAAGCAAGTGGTAATATCATGCTTTATATAGTATACTTTGTTATTTTCAATATTTTTGAATGAATTCGATACTTTATAAAATCGAAAAAAAACATATTTCTCATTATTTTTTATATCAAGAGTATAAACTTATTTAATTCAGGTGGAAAAAAACACCATATGTATTGAGTAGTAATACAATATAAAGTTTGTCTACTTAAATATAACAACCAAATAAGAAAAGAACACTTGTTTGATCTTTAATGTTCTATATGTTCTTACTTATAGATCAATGGAGTTTTAAAATATGAATAATAACAATATATATCATTCAACCATTTAGTTTATAAAAAACAATCGAAATATATGCTACATATACACTTAGTTATACATGTATAACATGTATATATTATATATACCTATGTATATTTTATGTATATATCAGTATAGTGTGTATACTTTGTTCGCTTTTAATAAACTAGATAGCCGAATAATATATATGATTCGTTTGTCTAGATTGTGATAATTTGTCAACATGAAGTATATCTTGCATATATACTTGGTTGTACTTTTTCTGTATCGTTTTAATTGTCACGGTTTCATTTTTTAGAATCTAAAACGTGACGGAGTTAGAGAGAATATTTTGAAAGGATTGTGTTTCATTTTCTCTTCCAATCTCTTGCCATTTGTTAGAACAAAACTCAAATAGTATAGTCTGAGTGAGATATAATGTATATATAATTTTTACATTTTATCTTAGTTTGATATAAAATATTTGATCGTTCTGAGATTATTTATCTCACTATTTATACTTTCGTGATACAATATCGATAAATTAATAAAAAAATTTATCGGCGATAATTAATGGCAAAATAACT